GTGGCTGGGTGTGACACACAGCCCTCCCCTGGGCTGCTGATCCCAAGATCACCGAGGTGTGTGGCCCAGTGCTGCCCGTGGGAGGCAGTGTGCAGACCAGCACAGGAGCTGTCACCCAGTCACACTCGAACTCACCTTTCCCCGATGTTCTGGTTCTCTGAGTGCTGAGTGGCTGAGCGGTGGCGGGTCCTACAAGTCTCACAGAGAGCAGGAGGTCCCTCAGGCCTCCCCACCTGCCATGTGCTGCTCCGTGTGAAGAAATGACAGGTGGCCTCCTGTGTCCTCCTCCCGGGGCTGTCATAGCAGGTCACCACAGACACGCGGCCTGTGGCAGCACAACTGTTCTCCTCAGTTGTGGAGGCCGCTGGCGTGAAGCTAAGGTGTCGCAGGGCCACCCCTCCTGGGCTCCCTGCTCCCTGGCGTCTGGTGGCCTTCTTACAGGGACACTGGCTGGTGGATTAAGGGCCTGCTGTGACCTCATCTGTGTTTCGTTAAGTCTGCAGAGGCCTTGTTTCCCCATAAGGTCACCATCACCTGTCCTGGGAGTTGGGTGGAGCTGGCCAGGGGAGGGTGTGGTTCTGCTCCCAGAGGAGGGAAGTGGCCGCACCCTCCCACCTGCCGCTGCCCCACGCGTGGCCCCAGGAGCGCACCTGCCCGTGTTGGGCCTGGTCTTTCTGTGCCTGGTGCTCAGCCTCGGGTTCCGGGGGGTGTGGGGGTTATTTTTTCCTACGGCATCTTTAGTTCTTGTTCATGTAGCTGATCTCTCAAAATGGACGCTGCAGACGTCAGTGAGGGCAGACTGTGAGCAGGAGATTCCAAAAGCTGTGGGTCTTGCAGTCTTGCAAGGCAGTGGGGGAAAAAAAGGTTGTATGTGCAGCCACCAAACGCCTCCGTGTCTGTGCAGCCCAGTCATCCTGCCTCCCAGGCCCCCGGCTTCTTCCCGCCATCCTCTGCCACAGGCCTGGGAAGGACCTGGACGAAGAGACCCACTCCCCACATGTGCCGAGGGCAGCGCGTCGCCTCCAGACAGCAGGGCGTGGGCACCACCCGCCTTCTCTGAGTCTAGTCACCTGCCACAGGACATCTGGCCACAGTGGGCCACAGGCACAGTGGGGTCCCTTGAGATACCGCCTAGCCCTGTGGCCCCCTTAATTCCTGTGAGTGGTACATGCTGTGATGTCAGCACCGGGACCAGGTCACTCGCATTTCTTAGGAGTGTCCCCCTCCAGCAATGCCTGGCTGCAGCTCAGCTCAGCCTCACGACTTGGTCTCTTAAGGAGGAAGACAGCAGCTCAGGGAGAGAGGATGGAGGCAGGAAGCATTGGACTCTGACATCCCAGGTGACCAGGCCCTTCGAGGCCGTCGTGTTGATCTAAGGAGGGGCTGCGGGGTGCCTTCCGTGGGTGGCGTCTGGGCGCCGTGTGCCAGCCTGTGCCTGTAACCGTGGCTGAGCACTGCGGAGGGGGGTGTCTAAAGGATTTCCCCACCAAGCTCTCTTCCGGGGGTGACTTTGGCAGAAGGCCTGGCAGAGCCCTGGGTGGCGGCAGCCCAGGATTCCCCCCTTCTCTGGAGCTCTTCTCCTTGGGCCCTGGAGAGCTGGTGACCCTGTGGCTGTCCCGGGCTCGCCCTCTGGTGGCGGTACCCGTCCCTGCACCCTCATTCCCGTGGTGCCCACAGCAGACTTTCTGAAGAGGGCGTGTGGGTGACAGGTGCCCCTGTAGGCCGGGCAGGTTACCGGAGGGGAGCAGGTGGCGAGGCCAGGCTCCTGCAGGCCGACTTGGAACACCTGGCATAGCCCCTCGCTGCTGCCCTGGGGAGGGCCTTTCCCTGAGGTCCCCGCCGCCGTCCCAGGGTCCTTTCTTCTGTTCTTAGTTCTCTGTGGCCTTCACCGTGGACTGCTATCCTCAGAGCCCGTGGCCACGCTGTGTTCCCCTCTAGAGAGGTGGCTCCCGGCACACAGCGGCTTTCTGGGGCCCGCGTACCCGTGCTGTGTACCCAGGACGGTGCCCGACGGCATCGTTGTCCCTCAGTGGACGTCTGCTAGTGGGAGGGTCTTTCCTTGGTTGGGTCATTTCAGTTGCGTCCACCAACATCACTGAGTTGTCCGTGCACACAGTTGGCGCCGCTGTGCTCAGGCTGTGAGTTTGCGCTCTGGACTCTGGAGCGCCATGTCCCGTCTGTCAGAGGTGGTGACGCAGGGCTCAGCCCACGCCCCTGCCACACCCTGGCAGTAGCAGCCCCGAGGCTCCAGTGTGGGGCGGCCCTGCTGGTCCCAGGACGGAGAGGAGCCCAGGGCTCCAAGCTGGGGATCCCCAGGCCTAGAGAGCGGCCAGTGTTGCCGAGCAGCCGTCTTGCGGGTGCAGTAAGGTGGGGACCCTGGACGGCGTGGGCATGGAGGCTGTGGCTCCTGAGTGGTGGGAGCCTCCAGGAATCGGGGTCGGGATTTCTCGCGAGTCGGCGCCTGCGGCCCTCAGTCCACCCCGGGGTCCTGCCTTCTGTGCGTGTGTCAGGCCTCTGCTGGCCCCGGTCACACGGCAGGGAGTCAGATGGGTCCCTTGGCTTACAGAGCCCAGGAAGCGGTTCATTCCCAAATTTCTAGATTTTTTTGAATTAACAACATTTTTCAAAAGAATCAGAGCTGCCCACATTTTATTATTCCTGGACCAGAATCTTTAGAATTGCGCACCTTGATTTTACTTGCGTACTTTGTGCTGATGTGGTGCTGAGGACGGAGCCCACGTGCTGAGCAGGCAGGCGCTCGGCCACCGAGCCCAGTCCTGGGCCAGGGTTGTGTTTAAGGTGACTCTGTTATTTATTGTCGTCTTGGTCGTAAGCAATCGGCTTTTAATTCCAAAAACAACCCTGAAGACCTGACCCTGGTGAACAGGGAGTTCCGTGCCCGTCCACATCTGGGAAGCCACCGCCCTGCCCCGCGTGCTGCATGAGCTGCTGACACGTGGCCGGCCAGCATGCCCTCGGGGACTGCGTTTGGCAGTCACCACTTCTGAGTGGCTCCCGCAAGTGCACGGGGCTCACGGCGCTCTGTTGTCTTCCAGATCGTGACAGACCAGCAGACGGGACAGAAGATCCAGATCGTCACCGCAGTGGACGCCTCGGGATCCTCCAAGCAGCAGTTCATCCTGACCAGCCCAGATGGAGCTGGGGCCGGGAAGGTGATCCTGGCTTCCCCAGAGACGTCCAGCGCCAAGCAGCTCATCTTCACCACCGCCGACAACCTCGTCCCCGGCAGGATCCAGGTAGGCTGTCCGCGGACGCCTGTCCCAGGACTCGGGTCACTGAATGGGTTCCTCACTTGTCCTCGCCTCTGTCTGCGAAGTCAGATGGGCTCCTTGGAAGGTTCCTTTGGGGACACACGCACAAGGCGGTTTGATGCTTTGGCTCAAGTTAGAAAAGTGGAAGGTCCAGAAAACAGCAGTGACCCTCAGGAGGGTTAGAAGTTGAGCCAGGAAGTTGGTGGCACCGAGGTCACGGAGAGGGTCGCTCTTCACGGGGCAGCCCTGAGCCCTATGGTAAAGGCCCTCCTCGGGCTGACCACCCCAGACAGCGACTTCTTGCTGCTGCTCCTGCCTCAGCAGGTCGTCCGACCTGATCCGAGAGCCTCGCTCTGTTCTCTCTCGCTCCTGTGAGCTGTGGCTCAGGGCCCCCAGTGCCTGCCTCGTCTCTGCCTGGTCTGTCCCTGCTCTGGCCAGGCAGGGTGGGTTGGGGCAAGAAGAGTGGGCACCAAGGGGGGGCAGGGTCCTTGCTCAGCGTGAGTTGGCAGCAGTGAATGCCCAAACCCCTCACTCGGAACAGGCGCGAGGCCAGTGTCACACAGTGTCGCACAGGTGTCATCAGTCAGGGTCACAGTGTTTAATTTCTAAAATATTTTTGGTTTACTACTTCTACTTGTAGGTGTTCGATGGCATTAAATGAACTGAGCTCCCGTTGTTGTGACACCGTCCATCTCTGTCCCTTCCTTTTATCTCTTTGAACCCAGGGGTGCTTAACCTCTTAGCCACACCCCAGCCCTCTCTGTGTTTTATTGTGGGAGAGGGTCTCCGTAGTGGCTGGCCTTGAACTTAGGTTCCTCAGCCTCCGGAGTCCCTGGGACTACAGGTGTGGGCCACTGGGCCTGGCTGTCACTCTTTACCTTTCCAAACTGACGCTGTGCCCATTAGGAATTGCACACAGATGCCCAAGATGAAGAAATTTCAAGTCACTGTTCTCTGTCCACTGGGCAGTCCCGTCTCCATGTCCCCTGCAGCCCCCACTCTAGTTTCCAACTGACTGAGTTGGGGGGACTCTAGATTCCCTGGCTCTTGTCACTTAGCGAACTCTCTTCCTTATCAAGACTGAACAGAGTCCCTGTGTGTCCCACTGCAAGGAGCTTGTCTTCCCGTCTGTTGGTGGACACGGGCATCGGTTCCTCTCCTCGGTTATTAAAAGTAACGTGAGGATTCATGCACTTGTGGGACGGGGGCTTTGTACGGTGCAGAAACCGAGGGAAGGAAGGAATGGTTCTCTGAGCTTCAGAACATCGATGTAGGGAAAAAATCCATTTTGAGACGGCGTGTACCGCGGTTTGTAGATACAGCCAGAATCCTGCCCTGCCTGTGAGAACAGCCCCCGTTGGTGACACGCAGACTCTGATCCTGATTCCCAAGAGGTGACTCTACGTGGTGACTTCCGAGTGTGGTCCCCGTCATGCGTAAATCATCCAGGGTAGCTCGTTGGCCCAGCCACGGCTGCTTTGCACATTCCCAGAGTGAGGACGAGTCCGTGTTCGTCGAGGTGGATAACACCTAGAGTCCCCTAGAAAGTCCCCTCCAGACAAGGGCAGGTTCCAGGCTCCTGTGTTCTGCCTGGGCGAGAGGCTCTTCCCTCTGACTCACACGCCCCTTCACACTCTGGGGTGGCTTCATGGGATCCGAGGAGCAGCTGGAAGAACCTAGAACACCTTAGTCTTGGAGCGCTCCCTTATCTACTACTCTGTCTGCACAGCGTCTCCTCTCCTGGTCCCCAGTCTCCGTGATGGTAGCCGGAGAGAAGAGTGGTCAC